GTGATAAAACTGGAGAGAACTCTAAACCATTAGTCTATATAGTACTGCCTGTAATCAGCTGGGCAATGCTTTTACATGGTTTAAGGGGGGTTATTTTACCCCCTTAATATATGGGTCGCTACATAGAGATATGCTAATTTCTTGTAGATCTTGTGGACTGGGCTGTTTTGCCTTTATTGCAAAAATACTGATTGTGACCAAACTATATACAAAATAACTCTGCTAGACTCTTAGAGAATTTAAAGATGGAGATGATGGTCTGGCATCCTTGAGGAGCTCCCTATCCAGGAGGGAACATAAGGGAAACATACCAGGTTGAATCATAGGAGATTGCCATTGAATATTCACATGGGAAGATCTCACAGGGCTTAACCTGACACATAACTAAAATAAGGCAGTACAGTTGAATGTATTGAACTCTCATTATGTTTCAGGCACCATGCTAAACATTTTACACTAGTTCCTGAACCCTTAAAATAACTCTTAGAGGTGGGAACTATAATCATCCCCATTTTATAGATGAGGAAGTTGAAGCCTTGAGTGGTGAAATGACTTGCCCAAAGCCACACACCTGGTAAGTGACAAAATTAGAATTTGAACCCAGGTCAGTCTAAATACAGAGCCAGTACACTTAAACCTCAGAATATAAGTACTTCTATAGGTACAAGTAAAGATATATACCTTATGTATGCACACCGATAATTTAAAAAATTTTGTTTTGCAAACACTCTATAGGACACTTACTCTTCTGGTATGTGTTGGTATTTCTGTGATCTGGATACATCTGGTCATGTGTATCACTGCTCAATCTCCAGCATTTTCATTCTCCACTTCTGAGAATGTTTAACCAACCAAGGGAAACATTTGGAGGGAAAAAAAGAACACTTTCACTTTTCATTGTTATGTGGACACTGGGCCTGTTTATTTGGCGGTCCAAGCATGTGTTAGAACATTTCAATTATATTTACATCCTCCTTTCTTTTTCTGTCCAGTTGCCTTTCTTTCTAAGTCACATACACAGATGGGAATCATAGGAATGGCCAGTTTATTGTACATAATTAAACTGTAGAGAATACAATTAAAGCTATTTGCATATAGTAAAGCCATTTGAAGAACTTTCCTCTTAAAAAGTTTTCTAATCTTTCATTCAGCTACCAAAATCCTGTCTATATAAACTATAATTCTAAATTTTAATATACAAAGCATATCCCTCATTTAAATGAAGTTTTATAATAATCTGGGGAAAAAGTTGTTTTTGTTTTGCCATATTATTAAATAATTACAATTTTGGTTGTACCTGGAGAATCTGAAATTCTCCTACTGTGTCCCAGTATTTTGTAAACTCCTCCTCCAGATTTAAAATTAGGTTGGACAACTGGCATTCTCAAAGTAGGTCTTTACTAATTAGACAGCTGTCCCCTCTGTACCACACCACTAAACTCTAATGTTAACATTGAAACAGCAAAGACTGCTTGTTCCCAAGATCCTTTTCAGGCCTGACAGAGGGTGAGTTTTGGGGTCAGCCATACTTGGTTCTCCTGTCTGCCCTTATTAGACTGATGTCCCCAGGCAAATTGCTGAAACTATCCTATTGGGAACCTCATTTACAAATCCAGATAATTAAACCTTATTCTTCGGGTTTGAGTGAAAGTTCATATGATAATGTGTATAAGCATCTAGCATAATGCCTGGTGGCACTTAGAAGACCTTCAATAAATGTCGATGTTCTTGTATTTGGACATTATCTTTAAAAAGCCTGCAATGCCCTAAGCTCTTTATGAGTATATAAATTCAGCTTTGTTAGGTCATTTTTAAAGTCAGATTTCAGTTTCCTTGCAATTGTGGCTGACTTGAGAGGACAGCTTTCTGAAATCCATTACTATTTCACTGGAGGGCCCAGCACCGTGGCTTACAACTGTAATGCCAGCAGTTTGAGAGGCTGAGGTGGAAGGATCACTTAACCCAGGAGTTCAAAACCCACCGGGGCAACAAAGCAAGACCCTGTCTCTTGTTTTTTGCGGGGTGAGGTGGGGATGGAGTCTCACTCTGTCGCCCAGGCTGGAGTGCAATGGCACAATCTCAACTCACTGCAGCCTCCACCTCCTGGGTTCAAGCAATTCTCCTGCCTCAGCCTCCTGAGTAGTTGGGATTACATGCACCTGTCACCACGCCTGGCTAATTTTTTTTTTTTTTTTGTATTTTTGGTAGAGATGGTGTTTCACCATGTTGGTCAGGCTGGACCCCTGTCTCTAAAAAACTAAAAAATTGGCTGAGTGTGCTGGTGTTCACCTATATTCCCAGCTACTAGGAAGGCTGAGGCTAGAGAATTCCTGGAGCCCAGGAGTTCCAGGCTGTAGTGAGATATGATCATGCCTCTCCACTTCAGCCTGGGTGACAGAGGGAGATCTGTCTCAAGAAAAAAAAAAAAATACACACACACACATATATCATTGGAGCCGTGGAGCAACAGCTGTAAAACTTGCTTGGTGGGTCCTAATTGCAATGCATAATATATGGACTCTTGAAATGTAATTCTTAGAATGGGTATTATAATTACATCCCAGCCAATCCAAAGGCACCTTAAAACATGTTTAAAAAAATTTCCAAGCCAATTAGAAAACTGGTTGGTCCAACCATCAAGTGTAGAGAAATATGCTAATTTATGCAAAGATTACTGTTCCAAGAAGCCCTTGGATGCATTTGAAGCAAAATATCTGAGAAAACACCTCGATGATACTGTGTGATACTAAATCACTGAATGTATTTTTAAGGCACATTTAAATATAAAGCATACATTATGAATGATAGAATGGCAGTACCAGAACAAGATATGGTGTTTTTCTTTGTTTTTTGAGACAGAGTCTTGCTCTCTTGCGCAATCTCAAGTGATTCTTGTGCCTCAGCCTCTCTCTAGTAGCTGGGACTATAGGCGCATGCCACCATACCTGGCTAATTTTTGTATTTTTGGTAGAGACGGGGTTTTGTCATGTTGGCCAGGCTGCTCGTGAACTCCTGGCCTTAAGCAATCCTCCCATCTCGGCCTTCCAAAGGGATTACAGGCGTGAGCCACTGCACCCAGCCAGATCTTTTTTATTATTTTTTAGAGACAGGGTCTCACTCTGTCAAACTACCCATAGCTCGCTGCAACCTCCAACTTGTGGGCTCAAGCAGCCCTCCTGCCTCAGCCTCCCCAGTAGCTGGAACTACAGGTATGTGCCACACATACCTGGCTAATTTTTAATTTTTTTTTTAGAGATGGGATCTCACGCCGTGTTGTCCAAACTGGTCTCAAACTTCTAACCTCAAATGATCCTCCTCCCTCAGCCTCCCAAAGTGCTAGGATTATAGGCTTGAACTACTGTACCCTAACTAAAAAGATCTTCTGTATTGACTATGACAACATTGTATGCCAGCCTCAACAGATTTAATTTATGCAACATAGTCTAGTTACAGTATCCTTATATATGCAAGAAAGGTGTACTACCATTATGTTTTTATCAATGCTGAGGGGATATAGAAACCATACAATAATTTCACTTAAATAATTTTAATCTAGGGAGAGTTTTATTGAGAAGTCACCAAATATCTGGGAGAGATGGGTTTGAGCCGTTTGAGAACAGCTACTCCATAGGCAGAGCAGCTGAGCATTCTGTTTATCAGCAGGATCCTATTGCTATATGTATTACAAATGATTTTAAAACAATTTATAACATTTCTGAGGCTTAATATGTATTTTTTAAAACCTGAATTACATTCTGTACAATTCACCTTTTACCTATCCTTGATGTTTATTTAAAATAAAAGACAACAACAAAACCCCCAGTATATTTTGTGGGCATTTGTAGTTAACCTAGACTACAAAGGCACCTGCTCTCACTCCAGGCCACATAATATTGTTGTGTTGTTTTGTTTTGTTTTGTTTGTTTTGAGTCTTGCTCCCTTGCCCAGGCTAGAGTGCAATGCCCGATCTCTGCTCACTGCAACTTTTGTCTCCCAGATTCAAGCGATTCTCCTGCCTCAGCCTCCCGAGTAGCTGGGATTACAGGAGCCCACCACCACGCCCAGCTAATTTTTGTATTTTTAATAGAGACAGGGTTTCACTACGTTGTCCAGACTGGTCTCGAACTGCTGACCTCAGGTGATCCACCCGCCTCGGCCTCCCAAAGTGTTGGAATTACAGGTGTGAGCCACCGCGCCCGCCCTGGGCCACATAATTTAAATGCTTTGGATACTAAATGGTTTACAGAGAAGTTTCAACAATTTGAGATTTCAGATTAAAAAATGGGTGGTAGTTATACTTGGACCAAAGAATGTTAAAAGATTGACTAGCTCTCTTTTAAGAATGAGGGGGTTATGTAATGAAAATTCCGCAAATATGGAGATAAAAGGTATCTACATAAAGAGAAGGCAGTAGAATGTTTTGAGAGTGATTTACTCTGCCGCACCTTCCTTTTGGTCACTAAAGTTTTTTGTTTTCCTTTTTAATGTTCACATATGGGCTTCACAGGTAAGGTTTCACGAATTTTGGAATGGAGAAAGAGTGTTGCAAAGGAAAGCTTAGTACATTTAAAAGTTAGGACGAACCAGTTATTTGCCTAATAACTAAGTTAAAAGTGGTTTTGGTTTTTAAAAAGCATATGCAAAACGTATTTACTGAGGCTTGCTCTAATTAGAGTTCTAAACAAATCTTGTAGGTTTTTTTTTTTTGTCTTTAATCTTCCCCGTTCGCGTGTCAAGCTAAAACTGTGTGTGTGTGTGTGTGTGTGTGTGTGTGTGTGTAGAGGACGAAGAGCCGCAAGACGAATTACGACGCCCTCGTGAATCTAATAATTTTTTTTAAAGCCAAATAAATCTGTTCTTGAATAAACCAGTATATTTCTGAAGTTAAAAAGAATCCAAAGAAAAGGAATGAACATCCTTGGAGCTGATTTACAAAAAAAAAAAAAAAAAAAAAAAAAAATTTTTAATTAAAAAATCCTAATCTCCACATTTTTTGCCAGGCGACCGAAGTTTGGAGGTAAGACGAGCAGGCGAGCGGTTTGCCGGGCCAGAGCAGAAGCCGGGCGGGCCGGGGAGCGGGCGCCCGCCGCCCGCGCGGGGGAGCGAGAGAGAGAGCGGAGCGCGTGTGGCCGCGCGCCTCGGCCGGAGCTCCCGCGCTCGCGCGCCCGCCCCGCCCGCCGCCGCCGCAGCGCCCTGTTGCGATGGCGCAGAAACCCCGTTGACAAGGCACTGCTTTTTCATGACGGTGAGTTTCCCTTTGAGTGTATTATAATTTTGTGATAAAAATTTCAAGGAGAAAAAAAAAACACACAACCTCCTTCCTCTGCCTCTTTCCTTCGGGGAGGGGAAAAGCGAGGGAGGGGGGGCTGGAGATCTGTCTCCAGACAGAAAAGAAAGAGGAGCAAATTAAACACCGAGTTGCCAAAACCAGGATATTAGGTTTCAGCCCAGAGAGCTATTGGCTAAGGCTGTGTTTTTTTTTTTTGGGGGGGGGGGTGGGTTTGTGGGTGGGTGATGGTGGTGGTGGGTGGATGTTTAATGGACACGGAGAAAAGGGGAATCGAGTGTTTATGCCTTTCCCAGCGCTGCCGGGGCCCCGGGAAGACCAAGTTCAGTGTCTCGGGCGGGGGCGCAGGCGGGCAGGGGGCGGCGAGACCGGGCCGGGGGCGCCTCGGCGAGGTGGGGGCCCGGCGCCTTTCTTTTTCCTTTTTTTTTTTTCTCTTTTCCGCGGATGCAAATTTCTGGAGCGGGGAGAGGGAGAGCCCGGGAAGGGGGTGGCGTGGCGGTTGGTGGTGGGGAGGGGAGGGGAGGGAAGCCTTTTAATGACTCATTGATTGAGCCGGTTTAAAATTAGTTGTGTGCGCGAGTGTGAGTGTGTTTTCCGCCCCCCGGAGCCGCCGGGAGCCGGGAAGGAGGGAGCAGGGCTCGGCTAGGGGAAGACGGCGCGGCGGGGCCGCGAGCAGGGGGCAGGGAGGGCCTGGAGTGACGGCGGGCGAGGAAGAAAAATAAGCTTTTCCAATCTCCTCCCCTCTGTTTTCCCCCCCTCGTTTCTTTTCTCTCTCGGAAGCTCTAGGGTGTGAATCACATTTTCTTTCTTCTCGGCAAAATGGACCCCGCGTCGGGGGAGGGGGAGGGGAAAGGGTGGGGAGGGAGGCGGCGGAGACGGGGTTTATTTTTCATCCTGGCTTCGTCCTTCCCGCCGCATCTGCGGGCGGCCGCGGCGAGGAAAGCAGGTCCGGGCTGCGGCGGGGAGAGCTCGGGGCCGGCGAGTCGCCCTGGCCCCGCTCCCGTTCCCTCTCCGAGCCCGCGGCGGCGGCGCGCACCTGCCGCGGGACTGCCCTTTCCCAGCCGCCTCGCTGCCTTCTGAAGCACCGCAGAGGATCCGCGGTCGGATCCGGCCAAGCCCCCAGCCGCGCGGAGGATCCGCGGCCGGGTCCGGCCGAGTCCCCAGCCGAGCGGAGGACTCGCGGCCCAGCCGGGCGTATCCTACGAGGCCCGTGCTGTCCGCCGTGCCGTCCAGAAGAGCTGTGTGGCTGGGACGGCGCTTTTTTGGCCGAGTGCGCGCGGGCCTGATGCTATTCGCGCCCCCCGAGTCGCCCCGAATGCGGGATCTTGGGTGGGGGGTGCGGTTGGAAGGCGCTAAGATGGCGCTGGGCCTGGCCTGTCGCCAGGGTTGGTGGCGCAGTTGCTCGGCGGGCGCCATCTTTCTCGCGGCGCGGGCGGCGCCCTCCGAGGACATGTCGCTGACCAGGGCGCCGCGAGGCCCGGGGCCAGCGGGAGCCGAGAGCAGGGTGCTGAATTCTGGAGATGGGACTGGGGTCGCGCGGCCTTCTCCTTCCCCACGGCCCCAGACCCAAAAGACGAGGTCGCCGGCTCGGAGCGGAAAGGGCTGGGGTCAGCTTCTTCCTCCTTCCCACTTGTGATGGAAGAAGGGGACTGGGCGTCGAGCCTCGCGGCTGATGGGTTCCCTCCCTGACCCCGCACCCCCACTCCTCCCAGTCAAAATTGGAGGTGAGGCGCTTCTGCCATTTCTCTCCTGCCATCTGAGAGTGGACGCCTTTGTCTTCTCTGGCCCGGCTTGGGGGCAGGGCATTGAGGCTTTTCCTTCATTCTCCAGTTATTGGAAGTAGAGTCCAACCAGGTTACAAAACTAAAAAAAGAGTCCAGGACATTGTCTGTCTGCCTTCCCGTAACATGGTTCTCTTGTGGGTACCCTACGCTTCGTTTCTTAGTTTTACTCTAAAACAACCATGAGGAGACATTTACTAGTCAGATTGAGAAGGTGATGGGTTCCAGTTTTCTGAAACTTCTTGTTGGCTTTCATATTACTTCAAATGGCAGTGAATTAAAAGTTTCTTAGAACGCTGATCTGAAAAGTTAAATATGCTTTAAAACACTCTGAAACTCTTCTAAAAAGCAAAAACTGCATTATTTTCTTAAAAACATCCATGTAAGTATCTGTTGGTAGTAAGTATCTGTGTTAGAGATGGGGGAGGGGTTTAACGTTTACATTGTTACTGAAAAGAGGAGGGGAAAGATTTGTAAAGCTCTGATTTCTCTAGAAGTCCGCAGACATGGAAAGTAAATAGTTAATTTCTAGTATAGAAAAATAACACAGTGGTACCAGTAGGTGTGTCCTTGTGTTTATAAATATACATAGTGGATGTTTTAGACCATTTAATAAGACCTATCTCATTGAACATCTGTATGCCAGAAACTGTGCTTGATGCTTTGTATAATTTCTATTATATCAGCCCTGAAATAGTGATTTTATGATCTGTCTACCGGGGAATGAGCTAACGTTCACAGAAGTATAGTAATTGTTCGAGGTCTTGCAGTTTTTAGTAAAGTTGCCATTGGATCACGAAAGCTGTGTTTTTCCCCCTACACCTGTGGTTTCCAAATCTGAGCATCAGAATTAACTTGGGAGATGTTTTTAAATAGAGATTTGTAACATCACCTCTTCCACCATCATTTGCTAGGGCCAGTGGGGTCCTTTAATTATGTGTCAGGCGCTCCAACTTCTTGATGTTCAGTGTTGACATTCTGGCCCACCTTGCACCCGCTATACCCAAAGATCTAGTATTCATTCCAAAACTTTCCAGGTGATTCCAGTGTGATACAGATACACATTTGGACTTTCTTATACTATGCTATGCACTGTTCTGCTGGCTCTTTTGAATTGGAACATGAGAATTGAGGTCCATATAATTTTTTTTTTGAGAAGGAGTCTCGCTCTGTCGCCCAGGCTGGAGTGTAGTGGCGCGATCTCGGCTCACTGCAAGCTCCGCCTCCCGGGTTTACGCCATTCCCCTGCCTCAGCCTCCGGAGTAGCTGGGACTACAGGCGCCCGCCACCACGTCCGGCTAATTTTTTGTATTTTTTTTAGTAGAGACGGGGTTTCACCGTGTTAGCCAGGATGGTCTCGATCTCCTGACCTCATGATCCGCCCGTCTCAGCCTCCCAAAGTGCTGGGATTACAGGCTTGGGCCACCGCGCCCGGCCGAGGTCCATATAATTTTGAGTTTCAGCAGTTTTTTGCTCACATTAGTCTCATTTTTATTTTTCCCATTCTAGCTGCCATTTATCAAATAATCGAAATTATTTCCTCAGAGAAAAAGGTTTAGGTATCCTAAGACCTTAAAATCTCAGTACATTTTTTAAAGTATATTGTCTCATTCTGTTGGGAAGTTACACAACATACAGGCTTCTAGGTCTAGCCAGGCCATCTAGTTTAGTCAAGACAGCTGTGTAACAAACATAGCATTGAGGCAGGGCACGGTGGCTCATGCCTGTAATCCCAGCACTTCGGGAGGCGGAGGCGGGCGGATTACCTGAGGTCAGGAGTTAGAGACCAGCCTGTCCAACATGGTGAAACCCCATCTCTACCAAAAATACAAAAAAGTTAGCCGGGTGTGGTGGCAGGTGCCTGTAATCACAGCTACTTGGGAGGCTGAGGCAAGAGAATCACTTGAACTGGGGAGGCAGAGGTTGCAGTGGCCGGAGACCGTGCCATTGCACTCCCAGTCTGGGAAACAGGAATGAAACTCCAATCTCAAAAAAAAAGAATCCAGGATTGATCCAGAAATTAAGAATAGGGTAGAAAAGACCCTGATATAAAGACCTGAAGATAAATCCTTAAAAGATTGTTTCCTGAATTTTGAATTGTGGACATACCTTCTGGTTTTGGGAAGTAGGATGGTCAAGTTATGTGGAACCTAATAGCAGAATATGTATAAAAACACAGGTCAGGGCCAGGCACGGTGGCTCACACCTGTAATCCCATCACTTTGGGAGGCTGAGGTGGGCGGATCACAGGGTCAGGAGTTTGAGACCAGCCTGACCAACATGGTGAAACCCTGTCTCTGCTAAAAATATAAAAATTAGCCTGGCGTGGTGGCACGTGTCTGTAATCCCAGCGACTCAGGAGGTTGAGACAGGAGAATGGTTTGAACCTGGGAGGTTGCAGAGAGCTGAGATCGCACCACTGCACTCCAGCCTGGTGACAAAAAACGGGTCAGGAAGAAGCATCTAGAGCAGGTGATGAATAGATGACCTTACTAAAATGAGAAAGAGAACTAAGTCAGTGATGAAATCATTAACTTCTCTGGATTAAGGATCATGTATTTTACTTATTTTGTGCTTTCCCTTGTTGATTCTTCTCAGATCGTTGTGTTTAGTGATTGCTAGGAAGAGTAGTTTAAAACTTAGATTTTTGATGCAGATGTCAGAATTAATACCATCTTTGCATATGTCCACATTGGAAAATTTTTGTAAGGAGCATCTGTTGAATACCTCTGTGCAGTCTGTCCAGTCTAGACCACTAGGTGGGTGGAGTGACTTACAGTTTTTGAAGGGAAGTCACTTCTGGTTTTTCTCGCCTTGTTTTTTATGGTAAATGCCAAAGTAATTATAATCTTTGACTAGACTAAAATCCAGTAAAGCTTGAAATGAGGCAGAAATCTAAAATAAACCTGCTTAGAGGGAAACAGTAGCTTCTTTAACCTTTATTGGAATTCAAGATCTCTGCACTCACGGAATTTACAGTATAGTGGGGAAGGACAGAAAATAGTTAAAATCACGATAATGACAGATTAAGAAAAAATATAAGTGGCTGGTGGAGCTAAAAGAGTATGTTGGGAATGACCATTTTGTGTAGTAAGGGTCAAGGAAAGTCTCTTTGTAGAGGTGATATTTGAGCTGAGACTTGAAACATGAACTTGTGCTAGCCATGTGAAAAGCTGGGGAGACATTCCAGACATGGGAACAAGTTCAAAGAACTGGAAGGCTGGGTGTTAGAATGGAGAGAAGGCTCCTCTGAGCAAGGGGAGAAATTAAGAATAGGGTAGGCATGAGATGGAGATGGAGAAATCCTATAGGTCTTCTTGTGTTACATCATAGGGGGATTTTTGGATTTTATTCTAATGGCAATGAGGGGTTTTAATTTGGGCAGTGATAATTTTTTTAAAAAATAACTATTTAGAGGAAGAGAGGAAACAGGAAAATTAGGAGGGTATTGTAGTAGTCAGCCCAAGATCAATAGTATCTCGGGCAAGTAAAGTGGCAATGAGATACAGCAGAGTAGACAGCAGCTTTCACATATATATTTTGGAGATGGAATCAGAAGGATTTGCTTAATAGGTTGGCTGTGGAGGGAGAGGGAGGAATCAAGGGTGCCTTCAGGTTGCACGCCCCAGCCTTGGGCTGCTGATGGTACCATTTGCTGGTTGGAGAAGACTGGAGGAGGAACAGGTGGGGAGGGGTGGATAGCAAGAGTTCTGTGTGGAACCTGTTGTATGTTTGAAATACTTGGGAGACATCCAAGTGGAGAGTTAAATAGGCAATGAATATTTAAGTCGAGCTGAGGGGAGTGATCTAGACTGCACATGAATTTTGGAGTCACTAGTGTACAGATGGCATGTCATGGAACTGATTGAGATTGTGGCCTTAAGATCAAGCCGTAGGAGACTGATTTGACTAATAAAACTCTGGTCTCCCACACAGCCAGCTCTGTGGGGGAAAAAAACACCCTAAAACACTAACAATGGCTAAAGCTTGGGCAAAGGAGACTGAGAAGTTTCAGCCGTTAAAGTGGGAGAGTGTTTTATTTTCAAGAAAGAGGGAATGGTCACTTCTGTCAAATGCTGCTGAGAAGTTACACAATGAGAATAGAGAAATGTTTATTCGGATTTGACAACATGATGGTGATTGTTTTGACAAGTGGTCCAAGCCACATTGGAATGCTTTGAAGAGAGAGTAGGAAGGGAGGTAAATATCGACAGTTAGGGAAATTTTGCTGCTGTAAAGTGGAGAGAAACAGTTTAGTGGCTTCAGAGGGAGATGGGGTCAAAGAAGAGGGCTTTTTTTTTTTTTTTTTTTTTTTTAAAGACAAGGTGTCAGTCATCCAGGTTGGAGTGCAATGGTGCAAATTATGGCTCACCACAGCCTCAGCCTCCTGGGATCAAGTGATCCTCCTACCTCAGCCTCTTCTGAGTAGCTGGGACCACAGGTGTGCACCACCATAACCCAACTAATGAAAAAAAAATTTTTTTTTTGTAGAGACAGAGTCTCGCTATGTAAAGAAGAGGGCCTTTCTTTTAAACAGTGGGAACTAGATAGGCTAATGAGAATATTTAATAGAGAAGGTGAGACTAATCCAGAAGACTAACAGTGGAGCAGCATTCTTTTTTTTTTTTTTGGAGACGGAGTTTTACTCTTGTTGCCCAGGCTGGAGTGCAGTGGTGCAATCTCGGCTCACTGCAACCTTCACCTCGGGTTCAAGCAATTCTGCCTCAGCCTCCCAAGGAGCTAGGATTAGAGGTATGCACCACCACACCTGGCTAATTTTGTATTTTTAGTAGAGACAGGGTTCCACACAGTGTCTTGGTAGTCTTGGTCTCTTCGCAAGGCCAGCAACTTAAACGAAGAAGGGGTAGTGGATGATTTCAGGAGAGATGGAC